GCCAGGGTGTGTGCATTGAAAGCATAGGTGTGATTTCGTCCCTCTGGTTGTCCGTAGGTTGTGTAGTGGGATGATTTCCTCTTGGTGCCTTGTCTAGTGTGGGACATGGCATGGTTTGCTGTCCTTCTAACCGTTACTTCTTCCGCCGCCGACGGGGTGGCCCCCCATTGCTCTAGAAGTGGAGGTGGGCTTGATATCTCCGCTGTTTTCTTTTGCAATGTTGTTCATAGTACGTCCCTATCTATTCTGGTTACGGAGAAGGGGCATTTGCCAACACTCTAAGCAGGGTGATGTAAGTTTCCAGTCCACATTGAAGATCTTTCAAATGTGCTGGTGTTGACAGGTCTGTCGGTTCCTGTCCAACACAGGGGGATTTTCTTGTTCGTCTTGTATAGTTGACTCTACTCCTTCTCCAGATATTACTCTTATACCCAGGAGAAGTGCTCCATGTCTTAGCCTCCAGCAACCTCATGGTTCTTCAGGGGGGGTCCTTCTGACATCGGCTTGAATCCTGGTCTATGCCCTCACCTGGGGTTGGTTTAGCTTCATCGTGCTGTCTTCTTCAACTTCCTTTTCCCTCGTAGCCGGTAACGGGGCAGTTGTAATTTGGGAGAGTGTACACATTAACAAATGAAAAAACATCAGACAGGGGGGGGACTTGAGAGAGAATGGGATAGAGGTCAATGAGGCTTGCTAAACGAAAGCAACATTACAGGGTCATTCATTCATTATTCCATAAAATCTGTTCGTAAGGGTTTTACGTATCTCACCCACTTGTCCCAGAGTTGAATAAACACATTTTTCTGAAGGCGAAGGGAAAAAGTGATCCTTACCATAACATAGATGTTGTTTACTATATCTATCCATTCCTGTATCGTGGGGGTCTCAGGAAGCAACCAGCGTTTTGTGAGTGCTTTTTTACAAGCTGTTATTAAAATGCCAAATAGGTATTCATCTGGACACCCAGGGGCAGGTCAGTGTTGAGTATGCTTTTTAATGTTTTATGAAAGGTTTTACCACTGGACACTCCAAGTACATGCCGGTGATTTGCTTCCCGAGCCCCACACCGTCTCCAACATGTAGCATCCCCTCCAGCAAAGCTTGCCTTCTGCTTCAGTGTGATAAAGAAACGAATAACACACTTCCACGCAAATTCCCGCCACATGTGAGAATTGGTGCATTTCCATTGAAATTTACACACATCCAACCAGTGCTTGTTTGATATTGAGAGGTTACCTTCTCTTTCCCATTTTTCCTTAACATATACTGCAGTGTGGGTTTTTTTTTGTCATAAGGCCTTTGTAGGATCTAGAGATAATTCCCTTATTTGAATCATTTTGGTAGGCACCGAGAAATATTCTCAGTATTGGGTCATCAAGGTCTGTTGTATTTCTAATGTTAAGTTCAAAATGGTTGCGTATCTGGAGGTATCTATAAAAATCTGATTCTTCAAGAGAATATTTTTTCTTCAGGTGTTCAAAGTCCTTTAGTTGTCCCTTTTCCATCAGAGAATAGAATGTTGTTATACCTTTTGGAATCCAGGATTTAAATCTATGATCCATTTCATTTGGTTTGAACCCCGGATCATAGGCACGCCATTGAAGTATTTGTAGTTTATGATCTAGTTTATATTCTCCTTCGATCACGTTCCAGATTTCTAAATGGAATTTGATCCATGGATTTTGTAAATTGTCTATAAGCTTTCCCAAGTTTTTGCAGTGGTGGGTCGTCAGGGCCTGCAAGGCCTTCTCTGCTGGCCTAAACAGAATCCCAAAGCTATATCTATTTTATAATTTAATAATTTTTCTTAAATACACTACATGTATTACAATTTGTTACGTGCCGTGTGTTGTTGTTGTGATTACACGCAGTGTCCTCTCGGGTGCCGCCCGTTACTAGAGGCCAGCTGGGCCCAATCAAAATCGGAGGCGTGGTTAAAAGGAGAGGAGCTCCGGAAGGACAGCCTTCTTCCGGGGCGAAGCCGCAACCAAGCCGCAGAGAGTGGTGCCGTGGATCTCTCCGGGTACAGCCGTGTGGGCTGGTGTCGCCATCGTGTTGGTGCGATTATCACTTTGAGTCGCCCTCTGACTATCAGAGGGTAGTTTTGTTTTGCCGCGGGCTTATCTCCAATAAACGATCCTTTGTTAAAACCCTTCACAGTGCTCTCTCTCTCTTCCCCCGGGTAAAGTAACACCGTTACTCCCCGCATCCCTTAGATGCCTAAAATGGGAACATAACACAATTTATAAAAATATTTTCCCCATTATCTTATTTTCTCATAGCACAGCTCCTGTCTTCCTCAGTTGCTCTGCTTCCAGTGTAGCTTGTTTTAAGTAGAGCTTTTATCCAATCAGATTTCACCTCTGTGTTTCTAGGTAAGAACAGAGGCCAGAGGCCTGCAGACTCACAAGTGCATCCATGTGCAGTTTAAGTGAATGGGGACGATATTGTTGATTGTCATAGTGTTCAACCAATCAGATCTTTAGTTTGACATGTTGGGCGTATTCTTTGATGTGTCAGCACCTGCTAGCCGGCCTATAATGACGTCAGCATTAGTGCAGCTCAGTGTCTGCCGCGAGGTGCAGAGTGTGCTGTGATTGGTCAGTGGGCGAGCACGTGACTATCGTGAAACGAAACTTAACAGCAGAGGCTTAGTCGGGTAGTGAATCACATCACGTGATGCAGCTCAGCCAATCAAATATGGGCATTCTGACTGAGTGAGATGTACCACACACCATGAAACATGGGGCTGAGACGAGGAAAGACATTGCAGAGCAGTACGTTCAATGTTCAAGTTGTGAAAGTAAAATCCTAAGACGATCTCTTTGGGCCGTGACTTGTCATTAAGGAATGATGGTGGGTCCCACAGCCAGACCAGCTGAGAACCACTGTCCTCCATGAGCGCAGTAAACATTATATTTACCTGAATATAAGCTTCTGCATTTTTCAAATGCTCGAGTACTATTCAAACGTATTGCAAGTCTCGTACCGAACGGTACGTACATAGATACGTACATTTACTACGTACATAGTTACAGCCTTAGAAACTAATAATAGCTGTGGTGCCATCATGTGGTTATAAGGTGGTATTTCAGCTGCAGGACAACAGTGAAGGCCTAGGTATAAAATGCAGGCCCGCCACTGAGTTTTTGTGGGCCAATACTGCATGCATTGGGGGATCATTCATAATAGAGAGTTCAATATCTTTCCACCTGGCACAATAAGTTGTGGTACACGTGTTAATTAAGGATTTAATCTGGACAGCATAGAAGTAATTCTTAAAATTGGGTAGACCCATTCCTCCTTCCTCTTTTGGGAGTTGTAGAGTTTTAAATGTAATCCTTGTTTTTTTCCCTTGCCAAATAAATCTTGAAATTCGTTTTGGGGGAATTTCTACAGTTTCTACAGCAAGTGCTTGAAATAAGAACAGATATCGTGGGAGAATATTCATTTTTACAGATGGCTTAGTCCGAGGAAAGAAATAGAGTTCCATCGATGTATGTCATCTTTAATTTTTGTTAAGAGGGGGGTGTAATTTATCTCTGTCAATGTTGAGATATTATTCGGTAGGTGTATTCCTAGGTATTTCAAGGAGTTCTGGTCCCAGTTAAGGTGAAATTTCTCTCTAATGTTTTTAGGAGGTGTACAATTAAAAGTCAAAATTTGTGTTATTTGCAGATTTAGTTTATATCCTGCATATCTACCAAATGTTTTTAGCAGGCTCATTAATTCAAAAAAGGAGTTAGAGGGGGTACTTAAATAGATCAAGATATCATCAGCATACAGGGCCACCCTGTGGGTGTTTGTAGGTTTTAACATATAACATAATCATCAGGTTGGACTGCACTCCAAGGATCTGGAGGTCATCTGCAAAGCGACAATCAAACAAATGTTTGGGAATGGCTGGTTATAGCCGTCCATGGTTCTCAGACTATACTCTCAAGTCTCAACCACTCCGCGATCTCATGAAAACCGCAGTTCAGAACAAAACCGTTCTTCTGCAATGGACCACCATTGCGGAAAATACTTTCATGCTATTTAAGGCTGATCTGTTAAGTGCACAGGCTCTGATTAACACAGACTACTCCAAACCTTTTCACTTGTTCGTAGCAGAAAAACAAGGATTTGCTAATGCAGTCCTGACACAAGGAGAGCACAAGCAGGCCATACCCTATTTCAGCACACAACTCAACCCAACCTTCTGAGGCATGAGACCCTGTTACAGGGGATTGGCTGTTGCTGCTTATGCAGATGAAATGGCATGTGAATTGGCACGCAGGACAAGTTTCACTTGGTTGCAATCTGCAGCCTCACTGCTAGATGGAGCCATATTCTACACACTGCACCTTTAAGTTATTCAGTATATACAAAATTGTTTTCCATCTTGTGATGTATTTTAAATATTTTACACATTGAATTGACAGCACATAGCGCAAGTTGTATTTTATTATATATATGTTTATTTTATTTTATTTCCATCTCCAAATTTGGCATGCATAATTTCTCAAGTTCCATGATATAGATATGAACACATTTTGTATTGATTCACAGTTGATTGATCTGTTTTAGTGTGTGAAATATATTTGACAAAAGCAGCACTAAGTTCAAAATGCACCAGCAGCTAATCATGACACTCAATGACAACATCAGATGATGACTCTGACTGGCAAAATGTCAAGAAATCTTTTAACTGGCGGCTCAGGAAAAAACAAGGTGTTATCAGAGTGTACCAACCCAACTCAAACTGATACTGTGTCTGTACCAATCCATGAAGTCAAGTGTCACAATGAACAAACATAGCTGGTAGGACAGTTCAGCAGCATGAGATGCTCTTGTGAATGTCACATTGAAAATATTTTAGACAACATCAAACACATAAGTTTGTTTTTTGTAACTACAAATATTATACAGGTTTTCAAGGCTCTATTTACATCGAATATATGTCTTTGAAATGTGTTATACATGCACATGTTTTACACAATGTATATGATTGTCTCCAGTTTGCTCTCCGAGCAGCGCCGGTTATCAATGCAGATGTGAGGACCAGTATCGTTGGTCATGTGACCAGTGTCTCCAGTACGGATCCTGTGACAACATCACTGAGGACACATGTGGATGCATCAGTGCCATTCCTCCTGATGGACAACACTGCCAGCCTGCTGATCAGCACAGTAAGTTGATCTGTAGTCGTTATTGCTTTCAAGCCAGAATGTGATGTGCCTCATTGTAGAAACCCTTTTTCAACTCATGCTTTTGTATAAAAATTTAAATGAAGATAAGACACTTAGTGTGGCTGGGTATAGTTTAAAAAATGCCATTACCAATGCCAGTGCTCCTAAATTGATACCGGTACCAGTGGGGTGCACTGCACAGCGTTCATACAGATGTGGTCCCCCAACCTACGTGGCGGGACCTAATTATCGCGGACGCATGGTGCCCACCCTCCAATTCCTCCCAAGTTAAAACTTTAGCTCAGTCGGCATTATTCTCGTTGCCTGGAGCTGCTGCGATAGTGGGCCAATCAGTGGCCCTAAAAGTTAATGCATGCTCTTTTCTTGATTGTGAATTGGGTCGCAATAGTTTGTCAATTATTGCAATTGTCTTTTCCTTAAATGAAAGATGACTCCACTTTTTGAAATGTAATATCTGGAAGAATGACGCGAGTTATAGTCAAGCAATTAAAGTGTACAGTGGTAATTACCTTTGATGTGTCAGTCTCTATATTTCCCTATATTTGTATCTATTCAGCAGCGACTCCTCTCTCTCTTCCTGCTTACAGACTTTACAGCGTGTCCTATTTCAACAACAACTCCATCAACAAGTAAGACTGGGAAGACAGTATTGAACTTATGACAAGCACAAAACATATTTACAAATAAGATTTAGGCAACACTCTGACAAATAAATGTTCAAATGGTCTTTTCAGATTCCAAAAAATGATTTAAAAGTTAAATATATAATAAATACATTTATATTTTCAAGAATTGCATATGATCAGAATATTGCTGATCCTGACTGAACATGTATTGCCAAATCACATCGTAACACCCAAACTACACCAAGAATAGTTGCAATGTTCTTCATGCTTATAACATGGTAGTTATACCATGGTATTAGGTATTCAAACTATGCATCCATTGCAGTGCAGTATACATGTTGTAAAGGCAACTGATCAGGGCTAGAATACTGTTGCCTTATACTGTCAGCAGTAACACACTGTTATGAAATGTCTCTAGAATTCTGACATCACCATCAGCTGTCTTTACCAGTGGGTATTTAGAAATGTGTGCTGGGACATCTCATCCCTGGTTGACATTTATTAAAATATTTTCTGTAATATACCTTCACTTGAAGGATTTCACTTTCCAATGTAACATGATTATAAAATCATCTTTTCAGCTGCAACAACAGGCGTGATCACAACAGCAGTAACCACAACAACTACAACAATTGGAACAAGTAAGTGATGGAAAAATAATTGTTTTAGCACACAAATAAAAAATAAAAAACATTATAGTTAATCAGTTGTTACCTCCACTCCAGCTCCAACCCCCAAAACGGCTACAAGTACCAAGGCTACAACCACTACCACCACCAGAGTTTCTCCCACTATCTCCACCACTACTGACAGCCAAACAGGTATTGTTTCATTGCCCAAAAAATGGTCCTTCGGATCCATTTATGATCACTAAATGTATCTTGTATTATTAATTACATTACTTAAATCAGATGTCTTAAACACCACTGTTCCAGTTGTCTCATTTGATGATGTAATGTCAGGCACTAGAATACCATTCATACACATATTTAAAAAAAACTTTACCTCATTTATGGCTTCAGAGTCAGGGGCTTAATTATAAACAGAGCAGACAGTGCAGTTGCACTGGGGTGCATGCCCTCCAACAATATATTGGGCAGAAAACAGGCCCTTGCAAGTAGTTCAGACTAACACCTCAGTCACTCCAAGTGGCTTTTTTGTACGTCTCCACATTTTACATCCACCTACCAAATTTCATACATGTAAGTGAAACCTCAATGAACGGCTTCATTTAAAATGTATATTCAAGCAACTTTGTATAGGGGGCTTTGAAAGGAGCCATTTTGGCACTCCAAAGCCAGAGACCCCTAGAATATACCATTTTCCTCACATGTGATGCGTATGCAAACTGTCCCAACTTTCTGAGCATGTTAAGCCCCTCGAAAAGGTGATTAATTTGCATATTTAATAATTCCTTCCTTTAATAGGGTCCTCGCACAGAGGTCAGTACTCGAGCCCTTAATATATACAGTACAATTAACAATGATAAAATGCTACGTTATGCTACAAATACTGTTCAAGTATTGCACATATTGCACTGTTCAAAGTAGGGGGCTATACTTTCCCATACAGTGTGTGTGTGTTTGTTAAATCATCTACCAAATTGCACTGAATACTGCTGGATTATCGGCCTGCCTATATAAATTCCGCCAGCCACGTTACAGCTCAAAACTTCAATGGCAAAGGATGTTTTAAGAGGATATGAACACTTTTGAGAGAAATGGTTTTATACACCATTGATATGCACTGGTGTTCAAATAGATCCTACAGTGAGCCATGGTTTATTGTCCACTCTCTTGTGTTTTTTCTTTTGTGTCCTGTCCATCTGACTTTTTTGTACTGGTGTTTGTCAGTTTCTTTAAAGCATAAGTATTTAACCATAGCTTTGCTCATGTATTTCATCTCTTTTAAATAAACAGAATTCAACGTGGAAATGTCTGTCGAATTAAACAAAACCTACACAGACGATTTAAATAATGCATCAAGTTTTGCATACAAGGATCTTAGGAAAAATATTCGTACAGTGGTAAGTGCATTGATAACACCATATTCAGTTGGTCCTTGTATTTTCAGTTCTTCGTGTTCCGATGTTGATATTATTAATCTCTTCCACAGTTATTTAACCAGTATAAGGGAATCACAGGGTTTGTCAATGTCTCTGTGACCGGATTCAGGTATTGGCAATTCTTCTGTCAAAAATGTTTGGAAGCAGGAACCCGTACACATTTTACACCACAACGCTGACTTGTGTTTGTTCTTACAGGGAAGGAAGCATAATAACAGACTTTGATATTCTGACAACGGAAATTAATCCATCTGAAGTGGACAATGCAAATAAAAACCTTCCAGAAGCAATGCTACACATTGCTTCTGTTATTGGCTCAGTTACTGCGCTGTTCAACAGTAAGTTCAAAAAAGCTAGTAGGTAAGACATTTTTGTTTACTTGATTGAATTCCAAACTGATATCTTTTCATTTTTCCAAAGGTCAAACTCGCATTGTTCCTCCAGGCCCCCTTCTAACTGGCGAACCCATGAAGCTGATGTGTGAGGACAACCTGAATGAGGCAGTCATGACCGGTTCTGTGTGGAAATTGAATGGAAAGAAAATTGAAATCGATGGAAGGATTACAAAAACTGATTCTGGTTTGACCTCTAGCCTTCAAATTGAGAACGTCATCCTTCGTGATATTGGTAAGTCAAAGCTAGCTGAATTTGTTGACTAATAAGAAATAAATTACCACAATATCACTTTGCAATTTGTATAAAGCAGTAGTTACCTCACCACTCAAAGCTGGGTTCTACATTCCATATTTATGTGAATTGAGATCAGATATATCATAGTTTGGGGATTCTATTCCTGTTATGTCAGAATATTGTGAATAAATATTAAAGTTGTCTTTTCCTGTGTTAGAGTAAAATTACTTTTTTTGTTTTTGTTTTAGAGAAATTAATTCCTCTTCTTGTTTTAGGAAATATTTGGCACCTACAGTATGTGTTCGGTGTTGATAGTAAATTAAGTGAATCGAAGCAAAAAAACTGTGCGTACTATATTGACCAAAAAAGCAGAGTTGTCCTGCTTGCGGAGCCATGCTTGCAGTGCCTACATGTACCAGGATGCATTGCGCGCTAGCTTCTGTCCAACAGTGCCTCTATATGCCCCTTATCCCTCCACTCAGCAGCTGGGATGCAAAACATAGGAAACTTCTGTTGGTCCTTTGCTTAATCCTGCCGGAACATGATCCCGAAACCTTCCAGAATGAGATCGGCAAATCAAAATATTTAAATACATAATACAAAATAATATGCAACTCCGTGCTTAATGCGACTTAAAAGGGCATACACTCAGGCCGAAAGCCCCCTGGGGTCTATTGGAGACTGCTCCGACATCGGCAACAGTGAGGGCTCCCATTGGTTAGTTGACTGTGGTTTTGAGGCCTTGATTGTGTTGTTTTGGCCATCGCCGTCTTGGTTTTTTCCAACCACAAATGACACGAGAGTTTGGAGCTAAGCACGACCAAACATTGAACAAAAATTGCTCCAGGTATGGGTATGAGGATTAGTTAGAGTACTGATGGGCAGGTGGCACCTTGCATGGTAGCCCCTGCCATCAGTGTATGAATGGGTGAATGATGACCTTTAGTGTTAAAGCCCTTTGAGTAGTTGGAAGACTAGAAAAACCCGATACAAGTACAGTCCATTTACCATCTTAATTTCATGAACTGAAAACACACTGGGTTTTTTAGTCTTAGAACTTTAACCCACACACAGTGTCACAAACAACTCCCACAGGACAACGCTGTGGTAGCGACCTGTCAATCACAATGTAGCCCCTCCCTAAATCATATCCTTTTTTATGTCTATTTTACTCTAAATGGGACCATAATTTATAAAATGAACATCATGCTGTATTGAAGAATACTTTAAACTAGCAATTGAGACCATAAACTCATGTTTACAATGTCGACTGAGGTAATAAATCAGTCATTTTCAGACTTCTTTTTGCAACCAGGATTCGCCCCTGATGGCCATTAGAAAGAATGCAGGTTTAAAGCTTCATTTTTCAGAACCGGAAGTTGCTGCAATCCCCAGAGCTACTGGGAGTTTGTGCTGTGAGATGAAATTAGTGTAATTATATATTTTGTATATAATTCCCATCGTTGTGCGCATAGTGTTTACTCGGCTCCATTGTCATGTCAGAAGAAGCAACAATATCTTCTATCGGTGCGCCGCACACAGCGTTGTTTATTGTGTCATTCTTGTTTAGTTTCAGCACAGCAGCAACCTGTGTGTGGTTTTGATGCTTGCAGTGCACACATGGCAGATGTTTGCCTTCAGGACTTTCTCCCACAAATCTTGTAATGTTTAGACAATAATCTCACTTGGTTAGGTTTAGGAAAAGATCATGTTTTGGGTTTAAATAAACAATTTCTGGCAGAAAGCCCTCAGGGTCAATATAGCACGCACTAAGGAAATGCTTCAATGGACTACATTTACCATCAACACTGATTGGACATCCACTTAAAAAGTGGACACATTGTCCCTTTTTAGCTGGCATACTAGCCACAACATTCATCTCGAAAAATAATGTCAATGTATCAGTATCAAAAATGTTTAGTAACAGCTATAGTGAAAAGTTAGAATGTTTCTTTATTTTACAGCATAAAATTGCAACCATTGACACTTGCTTCTCTTAATCACAGGACGTTACGAATGTACTCTGACGGGCGGAATCATAACTTTCAGGCAAAAAGGAGATGTAACGGATATCACACAAGCTCCCAATATACGACTGCGGAGGGAAGTCAATGCTAAATGTAAGGAGGGAGAGACACAACCCCTTGAGTGTTGTGTGCAGTCCCCCTATAAGATCGAGTGGGTAGGACTGGACTATAGTAAGTATCAAGTGACGTTGAAAACTACTCAATCTGACCATACTGAAACGCTGGACTCAGCTATTTGCAGTTTCTCTCGTTAACAACACTGTTTAACGTTCACAGGCCAAGTCGATGGAGGAAACTGCATCAAGTATGATTACTCGTTCGAGAGCTGCAGCGTAGCAAAGGAAATGGTTTTCACTTGTAAAGTCAAGGATAAATCTAATCAAGATCAAACTAGGTTGAACGTTTTCATAGACGGTAAGAGCAACACTTAAAATATGATTTTGCTGTTCCCTAAGATGTTTTTTTTTGCCATCTTCATGTGAGACACTAATTGATAATTTAACTCTTCAGATGTATTATGTGATGATCCTCCATATGGGGATGGAAAAAAAAGACGACGAATCAAGCATAGAATGTGATGAAGGTCTAGCAGGGTTCAAGAAGGCGCGGTGTCAGCTACCAGGAGAGTGGAAACTTTTGGAGGACACCTGCATTGTAACAAAAATCAATGAATTGTTAATTGCTTCGGAGGTAGGTGATCAATTATGCCATTTCACCAATATGTAGCTTCAACTTAACTCAACTTCTAGTCTGAGCCATATCATCTTCATGACATGACATTTTATGTTGTATCCTGGTTTTAATCAGGTTGTGGATTTGATATGAAAACATTCACTAAGACAACTGGTCAATAATGATTCTATTATAGATGTGTCTGATGCTTCTGTGATGTAAGGTATCTGGTATGTACTGAGGTGCAGGGATTATCAGTAGCAGACTTGCCATTGTGAATGTCCTGACCAAATTGTATGAGACAATGTTTATTTAAAGTTATTACGAGGAAATGAATTTCATGTTAATTATGGCGGTCCCTTGTTGACAAAAGCGGTGGTGTTTCTGAGCACCAGAGTCCCTTAAGAAAACCTCTCATTTTACTGCAGCGGGGCCTGACAGTCTGCCCCACGCATTCCTGGGTCTGGTTCTCCCGTGTCTCCCTTCCTCCAAGTTAAAACAATTATTTACATCATTAATTTGAGCTTATCAATTTTGAACCAGGACCTTCACTATTTGGATGAAGACACTTTTGAACAATAATGTGCGTCAGATGCAGTAGGCTACAGCTGTTATTACAATGTGTCAAATACATTTTTATTAACATTCAAGTAAATATTGGATGCACCCAGTATGGCAGATACACAATATTAAAGGACTCAGATCGAGATCGGTCCAAAATAACTGAGACATCCTTAAGACCAGCCAATTCTTTTAGCCTGCTCTTTCCTCTTGTGGCTTGAAAGGTGCACAGCTGTTGTCTGTAGCAGTTTCTAGTGACCAGGAAGAAACATCTCTGCATATGTCATGAATATGTTTTTGTGTTTCTGATGTTTCATTCTTTTAGAATTTGAATGAGGAGACGGTGCCAGAATTTGTGGCGAATCTAAGTATGATTGTCAGAAATGAACAAACTCAAGTTTCTGATTCACCTGCAACCATATCCGCTATCGTTGACATCATAGGGAACATAGCCAATATCGGTGATGAAATCAGTGCATCTGACATAAAGGTATGTTAAACCTTCCCCTCTGTAGCCTGTTAATAAAGGTTATGTGTGTACTTTGTGAAGAGGCCCCACCCTCACAATGAAATGTCTCTTCATCTGCAGGATGTACTTCAGGATGTACTTGAAACAGTTGATGTCATCATTGGTGATGATTCAAGAGAGTCCTGGGAATTTCTGAATGCAAATGAAACCAGTAATACGAGCTCAAGTCTACTGGGTTCCATGGAGACCCTCGCTAGTAGATTGGTGGAGGAGGTTAACTTTACGACTCCACGGATCATATTAAGCAGTACCACATTTAACAACTGCTTCATGGCAAATCTGAATTCAAGCGTCTTCTTAGAACTACCAGACGACCCCAACCTTATCAATGTCTTTATCACCACCATTACCTTTGCTACTCTTAACAATGTTATGCCGGCGCGGAACTCCAGCCTCTTCAATGCCACCAACAATGAGACTGTCATCAATGCTGCTGTCGTGCTTGTCCAAATAAATATGAATGAAACAATTCAGAATGTTACTCTGCGCTACAGAAAGCTGAACAAGTCGCTGTCACAAGTCCCACAGTGCGTCTTCTGGAACTTTACAGTCTTTAATAATCTGGGTGGTTGGGATGATGAGGGCTGTACATTTATTTCCGACATAAACGACATAGTAACCTGCAACTGCAACCATCTCACCTCCTTCTCAATTCTGATGGCGACTGACATCCCTCCAGGGCTGGGAGTCGCCTTGGATATAATCACTTATGTTGGGGTTGCGATATCTCTGGCAAGCTTAGTTATATGTCTGATAATTGAAGGATACGTTTGGAAAGCCATTACCAGAAATAGCACTGCCTTCATGCGTCATGTTTCCATCATTAACACTGCCCTGTCTCTGTTGATCGCCAACATCTGTTTCATCATCGGAGCCTCTATTGCTAAGAACCCCCTCGAAAACCCAGGGGAGAACTTTGTGGTTCCAGTTGGACCATGCAGCACAGCAACATTTTTCATGCACTTTTTCTACCTCGCTGTGTTCTTTTGGATGCTGGTGTCAGGCCTACTGCTCTTCTACCGGACGGTTATGGTCTTCTCCCACATGTCCAGGTCAACCATGTTGGGCATTGGCTTCCTATTAGGCTATGGGTGCCCTCTGATTATAGCTGTTATTACTGTTGCTGTCACAGCACCAGGAAATGGATACATCAGGAAAGACAAGGCTTGTTGGCTCAACTGGTTTGAGACACATGCCCTGCTGGCCTTGGTGATACCTGCCTTGGTAATAGTTTCCATCAACCTCATAATTGTAATCGTGGTCTTGTTCAAAATGCTGAGAAGAGGTGTGGGAGACGCTGCCCAAACAGATGAAAGGCACACACTGGTGGTCATTCTAAGGTGTGTGGTCATTTTGACTCCTTTATTCGGACTGACCTGGGCTTTAGGAATCGGAACCATGATATCATCAACAAATAAGGGAATCCACATTGCCTTTGCCTTCTTCAATTCACTACAGGTATTTGCCACTATTGAAATACGTTGTAATTTAATAATTACATGGCAGTATTTTTGTGTAATGAAACACTTTGTGTTCCGTCCTTTCGATTCTAAAGATATCTGCATGTCATCTGCCTTTCCTCAGGGTTTCTTCATTTTAGTGTTCGGGACACTGTTTGATTCAAAGGTAAGTTGGCTTCAAGGAAATAGTTTTTTTTAGGAAATGCACTTATTTGCTTCTGGAAGAGATCGATGAAAAGCAGTGGAGGGAGTATTTAAATCCTGCATTTCATAAATTATTCTCAAACGATAGTACAGTAGTATTGTGACTCAAATGTACTTACAGTATCAAAAATAAAAGTACTCCTTATTGAGCAGAAGGGTTCCTATCAATGTTATTGATATGATTATATATTCTATAATTACATTATCATGATAAAGCAGTTTTTTTTACTGTTGTAGTTGGCTGATGTGTAGCTAATTGCTACTACTTAGCTATTCATTGTATTTTCAGTTTTCTGTGTGTAATCTGCGAAGTAATTGGTAACAGTACAGAAGTACAATATTTCCCCAGGATTGTAGTGGGGTAGAAGTATTATGTAGCACAAAATATAAATACTCAAGTTAAGAACAAGTACCTCAAAACTTTACTTAAGTACAGCACTTGAGAAAATGTGGTACTTTCCACCTGTGCCACCTTCATGTATGCACTAAAGCCTCGGTTATACTCCCAAACAGGTGCATTCAGCTGCAGACACAACGTAATAGTTCTGTTTATACTGTAGCTTAGCAACAAATTGCCAATACCCCTACACCCACTGATGACAAAATGTACATCATGTGGACTCTAGTGGACCCTCGCTTACTCTAAAAGTAGAATTTCGGCTTGAGTGTGGAGCTTAGAGACAGGAGGCAATTAGCTTAGCATAAAGACTGGCAGCAGCTAGCCTGGCTCTGTCCAAAGTAAAAAAATCTGCCTACCATTACCTCTAAAGCTCACTTAAAAACACATCATTGGAAAGCGAGTAAGCTTATTACCCACAATGTCAAACTGTTACTTTTAAGCGTTAGTCTTGCTAAATATATACCAAATTGCATAGTAGTAGAACATACTAAAATCTGACATTGACATAAATTTGATTGTGCCTTTAGATCCGTTCTATCCTGTCAAGAAAAATACCTACATCAAGCACAGGCTCAAATAATACAACAAGAGTAAGTATTTTTTATTTTATTTCCCAAACATAAACTCTGTTAAATTCATGTAGGTTTTCCTTGTTCCTAATGATGCATGCCTGTAGTTGAATCTACAGGCTTTTAATCAATCAATCTCAATGACAATTACGCAAGTCTTTTCTGCAATCACTTACTTTTACATGCACTTTTTTCTACCATAGAGTACCAGTGGTGGCATTGCCTCTCACAGTGGACTAAGCTGGATAAATCGACTGCGTGGAAGAAGATGCAAGTAGTTGTTTTCAATTTTGCAATTTTTCCGTCCATTTGAATTAGCTGTTAACAATTTGTTTTTTTGTCTTTCAGATATGTACCATTTGTCAGAAGCGGCAAACTCAAGAAGCAACGGTGCATCGGAGTCATTCAGCAATATCTGAGTCAGCGCTTCAACTGTTCATATAAAATGTGTTTCATTACTGACTTAAAAGATCAGCCAGTTATTGTTTATAATAACAAACTCAAAGACATAAAGTTCACTTGGATGTTCTCAGTTTTCTAATGAGAAGCCCTAGAAAAGCAAGCGTGACGTGTCTGAATGTAAAGTTTTGTGTTATTTGATAGTGAATAAAAAACTGTGAAATGGTACTTTTGAAACATATGCCTTGTGCTGCTGATTTTGAAATGTAAAGTCTACTGTTTCTTCGTTTGGTAAGAAGCACAAAAGCCAGTCCGGGGGGGATAATGTAGCATTCTGGTGTACTCTGATAAGAAAATGAAGTGATAAGACAAGTCCTCTTCATCATCTCATCAGTATCTGGGCCTCATGTTTCGTGGTCATAAAAGTTAGCACCATGAAATTGCCTCATTCTACTTTGAGTTAAAACAAACAACCTGCAACCAGATGCGCCGGTGTTCCGGTTTAACGTTAATGAGTGACCGTGTGGACTGAACCGGAACACCGGGGGGGGCTGCATGTTTTATCACGTTACGTTTTTTCCTCCTAAATCGCGATAATGCCGAACGTTAACAATCGACAAAGTTCCGCATGCACAACGTAACTTAAACTTTAACAGAGGGAAATGAAGACGCTGTAGACATCTTAACGCTGATTGGCCAAGACTCGACACGTCAAAGATGTTTTATTGCAAAGACCACGACATAAACTTTTCTCCTCGTCTTACTTCAATCTGAGAAACGCTGGCTGGCCAGTTGACCCCCCCCGAAAAGTGACAAGTTTGCAGGTATGTTTACAATGTTTGTTGTTATTTTGAGGGATTATTCGACATTTGGCCAAGCTCTAAAAAAACAGTTACTGTATGCAGTGAAATAACTGTTCATTAGCCCGTCAAGGTGAACTTTGCTGTTCAATGATGTGTATGGTACAATGAGTTTTAAAGGAACAGTAGATTTATTATTACCATGTTGAATACTATAAATAATCAATCCGTCACAATTAAACAAATAAGCACACTATATTTAAAGATGGATTGGTTCCTTGATGGTCAATGTCAAATTATTATGTCAACCAGAGAAAATGTATCGGAACATTAGAGAGTAAAAAAACCTTTGGTACTGTATACTGGATTTCCCTTTGAAACATGGACAGACACCGGAATCAACAGTGTTACATCAATGTAAAGGTGTCTGTCATGATAAAATGAAGACATGGCGAAGCAGCGTGACTGTGTTCAAAACACAAAACTGATTGGACCCCATAGCATGAATTTGGTTTCCATTTCTCTGTTGCCAAGCACACATTATTGTATGCAACCTTTTAATCCGTCATCCGATAAAATCGGTTACCTTGCAGGTAAGAAACCTTGCACACCAAGTCGGATGTGTTTTATTATCCTATCTGTTGTGAAAGCATTAGTTGACTGTTTTCAACTTCTGGAGCAAGAACTGAACTTCTGACTCACCCAGAATCTGATAGGTATTTTATTCTTACTTTAACTAAGTTGTCTTTATAGCTGTACTTAGGCTTGCCTCAGTGGTGATTGGACTGAGTTTCTGCCTGTCTGAGGAGGTGTGATTTAGTCTCAGCTGCTGAATAGCTTTGCTAATTGCAAGGGAGGAGCCTACACTCCTGGCAGACAATCAGTAGATTGCTGTCCTTAAGCACTTCTGTAGGCTGGAAGCGTCAGCTTTCAAGCGTCTGGCAGACGAAGGCTAGGGCGAACAAAGGCAACAAGGCCACTTTTTCAAGCCCGACTTCGTCAAGCTAAGACTTCTCGAACGTGTACTTACCTCATTTTTATTGTTCAAACCATGTGTTTGCATCTGATTTCGGTCCTCTCTTCTGCTCGGTGGTCACGTAGACATTGGGCCACTCCCAGGTGCCGTGACCCCGCTAACCTCATTTATCCTACTCTCTCAGCTCATGTTGAGCAAGTGGTACCGGGGGGGCACTGGAATTGCCAGTCGGCAGTGCCGAAAGCTGAGTTTATCTCGGGCTACGCTTCCTTGCTCTCTCTCAGGTTTCTTGCTCTAACTGAGACCTGGATCACGCCAGAAAATACCACCACACCTGCAGCTCTGTCAGATGTGTACTCTTTCTCTCACACTCCCAGAGCTGCAAGGTGGGGTGGTGGTACTGGCTTGCTAATTTCCCCAAAATGGAAATACACTCTTGTCTCGGTTCCTCAGTTCTCCCCATCCTCTTTCGAATTTCATGCGGTTACTGTCACTTATCCAGTCAAGCTCACCATTGCTGTTGTGTATCGCCCACCAGGCCCTCTTGGTGAGTTCTTGGAAGATCTCGACACATTAGTCTCACACTTCCATGATGATGGCTCCGCACTCATCCTGCTCGGAGACTTTAACATCCAGACTGATAAATTAGAACCGCTTCTTTCCTTCCTCTCCTCTTTTGACCTTTACCCCGCCTCTTCTCCTCCTACCCACAAGGCCGGCAACCAGCTGGATGTTATCTTCACTAGACTCTGTTCTACTGCTAACCTCTCCGTCACTCCCCTCCAGCTCTCTGACCACTATTTGATGTCTTACTCCCTCTCCCTCTCCTCTCCCCCCGTACTTCCACCACCTACCCACATGGTTTCTACCCGTAGTCATCTCCGCTCCCTCTCCCCGGCTGATCTTTCATCTTCTGTTACCTCTGCTCTCCCTGACCCTGAAGCCTTCTCTCTCCTATCCCCTGATATTGCCACTGATCTTCTCCTCTCCACCCTTTCCTCTTCTTTGGACAACCTCTGTCCCTTCACCTCCAGGCCTGCACGGCCAACCCCACCTGCCCCATGGCTGTCGGACTCACTGCGTAATGACAGACGGAGCCTAAGAGAGGCTGAGCGTAAATGGAGAAAAGGCAAACTCCCGGAGGAGTTTCTTGCACCCCTCTCCCCTAATGAGGTCCTCAACCTTGTTACATCTAACCGCCCCACCACGTGCTCCCTTGACCCGATCCCCTCCCCTCTTCTTCAGTCTATTGCGACTGAACTCCTTCCTTTTCTCACCCACCTCATGAACACATCTCTTGTTTCAGGATGCTTTCCCACGGCTTTCAAGACTGCTAGAGTCAGCCCCCTTTTGAAGAAACCATCACTTGACCCCTCTGATGTGAAGAACTTCAGACCGGTGTCTCTTCTACCCTTTCTTTCCAAAACACTTGAACGTGCTATCTTTACTCAACTATCCTCCTATCTCCACCAAAACAACCTCTTGGACCCTCACCAGTCTGGGTTCAAAGTGGGTCACTCGACTGAGACAGCCCTACTTGCGGTGATGGAGTCGCTTCACGCAGCGAGATCTAACTCTCTCTCCTCTGTCCTGATTCTCCTGGACCTGTCTGCGGCGTTTGACACCGTTAACCACCAGATCCTCCTATCCACCCTCGAGGAATGGTCGTTTCAGGCTCTGCACTCTCCCTGTTTGCATCCTACCTGACAGGTCGATCCTACCAGGTGTCATGGAGGGGCTGTGTCGGAACCACGCATGCTGACTACGGGGGTTCCACAAGGCTCAGTCCTGGGCCCCCTTCTCTTCTCGCTCTACACAACATCTCTGGGTTCTGTTATTCGCTCGCATGACTTCGCCTACCATTGTTATGCCGATGACACCCAGCTGGTCTTGTCATTTCCCCCCGGGGACACTCAAGTGGAGGCACGCATCGCTGCGTGCTTGGCTGACATCTCGAAGTGGATGACGACACACCACCTCAAGCTCAACCTGGACAAAACCGAGCTACTGTTCCTCCCGGGAAAGGGTTGCCCGCACCGAGACCTGTCCATCACCATTGATGATACCGTGGTGACGCCAACTCGGACTGCGAGAAACCTGGGTGTGACCCTGGATGACCAACTGTCGTTCTCAGCAAACATTGCATCGGTTACACTCTCCTGCAGATTCCTGCTCTACAACATCAGGAGGATTCGCCCCTTCCTCACTGATGAGACAGCGCAGGTGCTAATCCAGGCTCTTGTCATCTCCCGCCTGGACTACTGCAACTCACTACTTGCCGGAGCCCCGGCGTCGGCCATCAGACCTCTGGAGCTTGTCCAGAAAGCTCTGCCTGGTGTTCAATCGCCCCAAGTTCTCCCACACAACATGCCTTCTCCGTTCTCTACACTGGCTACCTGTAAGAGCCCGCATCCAGTTTAAGACTCTGGTGCTAGCCTACAGGGCAGTGAAAGGAACAGCTCCTTCCTGTCTCCAGGCCATGGTCAAGCCCTACACCCCAGCCCGACCACTTCGCTCTGCTACCTCGGGGCGACTGGTTGCCCCGTCGCTCAGAGGTCCCTGCGGCCGATCGACCCGGTCACGGCTGTGTTCTGTCCTGGCCCCACAGTGGTGGAATGAACTCCCCGCTGACGTCACGACGGCAGAGTCGCTGCCCATCTTTCGGCGCAGGCTGAAAACTCACCTCTTCAAGAAGGCCTACCCTTCCGCTTATCACTTACTTAGCATCTATTGTATTCATACTAGCTTATTGCACTTATTGTTGTTATATTAGTTTGTGGCACTTATTGCATTCGTTTGTTTATGAACTGTACGTTGGCTCTGGTTTATGCTCTTAGATGCTTGTTTGAGGAAAGGACATGCACTTATTACTTCTGGTGACTAGTTGTTCTCTCGAAAACCGATGTTGAATACACTTATTGTAAGTCGCTTTGGATAAAAGCGTCTGCTAAATGACTGTAATGTAATGTAATGTAAATATACTAGTCCCAAACAGGGCTAACGAATAAATCACATTGGAAAGAAGCTAAGCTAAGGAACTCGTGCTCGGGGCAGCTTTAGCTATACGGACTGTGTGCAAAGGCCTTTACACTAAAGAAATCAACAATTTGTTCACTGGAATACCATAATTATGTATAACATCATCACATTTGAAATTTGACAAACATTTGTCTTGCCCGTTTGTAGAGCCGCCACCCCATATCACGGGCAGAGGAGTTAGTTTGGCACAGGAAAACTTTAAAAAGTGATGTTGAGGAGCCAGGTTGATAAGCAGGAGTAGTGCATAAAAATGGCATTTATTAATAAAAAGTTTAATGAAACAAAGTGCAAAAACGTAACCGTAATAAGAAAAAAAAGAAACAAGCTGCCCGGTAAATGGACTGTACGTGTATAGCACTTTTATAATCTTCCGACCACTCAAAGCGCTTTAACACTACATGTCATCACTCACCCATTCACACTCATTCATACACTAATGGCAGGGGCTACCATGCAAGGTGTCACCTGCCCATCAGTACTAACTAACATTCATACATCGCAGGAACAGCCTGCAGGAGCAATTTGGGGGGTTAGGTGTCTTGCTCAAGGACACATCCACATAGACTAGAGGAGCCGGGGATCAAACCGACGATCCTCTGATTGAAGGACGATCCTGCTCTACCTACCACTGAGCCGCAGTCTCAGTAAAATTTGTAG